TGGGCGTTGCTTCCTGCTTTTTGTGATTTGGGGCACTGAAGATGCCATCTGCAGTACTTTTCAGAGGTATCAGAGCCTATCTGCCCTTCAAGAAGGATCTGGATTAAATTATAGATCCTTCTGTGTAAGAGAGCCCCCAGAGACATCCTGATCCAGGTTTATATAATGAATAAGGTTAGAGCTTTCCCTTGACAGCAGGTTTTGGCAAATGGAAAAAGGGATCATTAGAGGAGATAACAGGGTTACCAAAGGGACTGGAGAAAGAAGAGACTGGGCAGCTGAAGACAAGCATCAAGGATGACATCATAGCTTTGTTTAAAGCCACCTTCAGAGAACACAAACTTACAACAAATTGGAAGTCTGTATTGACAATTGTAGAAATTGGGCAACCTTATCATGGAGCACCAAGAATAACTCCCTTTTACTGGTTAATGATCGTGGAGTTGGACAAGAATGTAGGGAGGAACACTGGTTGTCTTGAATCTGCATGGTTGGGGGTGACCCCACCATGCAGCATGGAACAGGATGGCCCCTGGTTGTTTACCTTCCCATCAAACATTTTCCCTGCTCCAAAGCATCAGCCCTCTATATGTCGGGCCGTCTCTCCCCAGTCTCGGAAGCTTTGGGTAGGAATGAAGCATGTGACCAGGCTTGAGACAATCAATCCATCATGGTTCCCTGACTACAGTGATTGGTTCAGGGTCGGCAGCAACAATGACATTCTGTGACACTTTTGCTGGGAGTGCTGGGACCTAGGCAGAGGTCTTTCTAGCCAGCCTTGAACTTGAGAGGGTGTAAAACTGGAATGCTTGCAGCCATCTTGAAACTACCAGGAGCCTGAGACTGAAGTCAATGCGGTGCAGACAGAGCAGAGAGCTGGAAAGAACCAGGTACTGATGACATTGCTTGCACTCAGAATTCAGTCATGCATGAAGGCTGACCTTCCACTGGACTTTTCAATCATCTTTTCTTAAATAAGTTTAGGTTGAGCCATCTGTTGTTCATCACCATAGAAGCATTGACTGTGACAGTTCCAAGTAGCTGGTGGGACAGGACTAATGCAATGATGTAAGTTGCAAGGTGGTGTGTAGCAGTTCCCTGTAAGGAAATGCTTTTGAAAGAGCTGTCTGAAGAGGGTACAGGCTCCCTCAAGGGTGAATGCCTTCTCAGTGGCAGGATTTGCACCCTGCACTGGATGAGGACTTGGAGGAGATAATGGAGAATAAATTCCAGCAAAATAGGGGTTTAATTGGGCAGTTCTTTAGATTTATGTGTTTCAGAGTCGCTTAATGACCATGAAGTGAAGTTACATGCCCCTTCTGACTCCCTCTCCGGGTATCTCTACACAAATAAACTTAGATTCTCACTGTGACCCTGGTAATAGACCCTGATAGGCAGGATTGTCACGACTAGGTCTCCTCCACCAACCTCACCTCGGGATGTTTCTCTGCTCTGTCAGACCGGTCAACTCATTATGCCCTACCAAACCACTTCCGCCTTCTGCTCCCTTGCACCTACTTTCTTGCCCCTACCAAGAATTTCTTCCCCTGATTTTTTCTTTCTTTGCCTTACAAAAGCCAGCTCTTTTTTTTTTTTTTTTTTCAGATGGAGTCTTGCTTTGTCGCTCAGGCTGGAATGCAGTGGCACGATCTCGGCTCACTGCAACCTCAACCTCCCCGGTTCAAGCGATTCTCCTGCCTCATCCTCCTGAGTAGCCAGGACTACAGGCGTGCACCACCATGCCCAGCTAATTTTTGAATTTTGAGTAGAGATGGGGTTTCACCCTGTTATCCAGGATGGTCTCGATCTCTTGACCTCATGATCCTCCCACCCTGGCTGGGATTACAGGCGTGAGCCACCGCGCCTGGTCCAAAGGCAGCTCCTTTCCATGAGGCTGTGTCCTCAGGCTATCTCAGATGGATGATGTGATTCCAACTTCTGACCTCTAAGCAATCCGGTTCTCTGAAGCACATGTTTGTGACTTATTAATACTGCTTTGCATAGTTCCCTGATGTCTCCTTGTGATCTATCAGCTCCCTGTCTTTTTGAAGGCAGAGATGGATTATGAATCATGTCACCTAGCACACAACTTTGCACAGGCTGCACTCACGCTCAGCGGATGCTTATAGGTAAGTGATGCCCCAATGTCAGGGGCTATTGTCAGTATGCCCTGCTGGAATATGGCCACCTGACAATCTCAGATCCAGATCATCAGAGTTCACTGGGCTGCCTATGGGCTCTCCTACACCACTTTGCCAACCCATGGGAGTCGTTATGTCTAAGGTAGTTGCTGGGCCCAAGATACAGAGGAGACAGAAGCATACCTCCTCTCTCCAAGACCTTCCTACTCTACCTGCACCTGACACCTCGTGTGCCTGATGATATATATGGCCATATATTATATGAATGAATATATCATACATAGCCATATATATATATATGTTTGAATATATACTTATCCATTTACTAAGTACCAACCAGGTATCCACAGTGTGCCCGGCACTGGACATAGAGTGATGAGGAAAGCAGATGCAGCTCCTGCCTGCGGTGCCTCAGGGCTGGAGTCCCTCCCACACAGAACCTGGGTTGTTCCTAATCCCTCTACCTCTCTCTCCCTAGCCCCTGAGATGTCTGGGCTCAGGTATCTCTGATCTGCACGTGTTTCCTTTGAAGGTGGGGTCTGTTTGCCCTTTGCTGATGCCAAGGGCCTCCTTCTAAGTTCTTTCTACCCGCTCCCCCTTTTATCCAGGACTGAGCCGTAGCTCCTCAGTCCCAGGAACCACCTTCTAATCCGTGTCCTCTGCTCACACAATTTTGGCTGGGTCTCTCCTAAAATCCAAGAGAGGCCTGGGCTCCCCAGGAACAACCTAATGGTTATAATCACTGTGTGTTTTTGCATTTTAAATGTCTTCTTGGTTTAAATTAGTGAAGCCAAGAAGTTCAAATTCTAAGAAAAGTAAGATAAAATCCTGACAGCTTTGGGGAAAGCAAATCCAAGCTCCTGCTGGGCTCCAGCTGGAGGGCGTGACCCCCAGGCCTGCTGCGATGCTTGGACTTTTGGCTCTGAACCTGAGGATGAGGCTCTGAAGTTCTACCTGCTACCTGGCTGACGGCTGGTTGAATGCTGTGTCAGCGACAAGAGACCCTGACCTCCCACACGCCGGCCAGGCACGGTGGCAGGAGCTTTTTCATATTCCACAGCTCAGCAGCCCCAAGCTGCTGGGGGCGGGGGACAGGTAGTGGGGGAGAGAGGATTCGGCCCCCAGGGGCCACCTGGCGCTGGTGGCATGGTGGGGAGCCAGGCTCGCCTTTGCTCTCTCTCTGTGCCACAGCCCTGGACCCTGGCTGGCATCTCCTGAGAGCAAAGCGAAGCCCGCGAGTGATCTCTGGGGGAACTTCCTAGAAAAAAGAATTTCAGGTTCGAACAGTGTAGGGACGGCCGAACACGGGAGGAAGGGAGCGCTCCTCGGCAGGGACCGAGGTTGGCCAGGGCTGCCCTGAGCCCTGGAGAATCCCCAGAGCGCTCGTCCACTACATGCCCACGTGCGTGCGTGTGCCAGGGAGCGAGAGCCCGGACAGCGGGTGTCGGAGGCAGGACCAGGAGCTGCAGAGGTGCCGCGGGCAGAGTCCCAGTGA